CCACGACGACTGAAGGAGGCGGAGACGTCTGCAGGCTGCCCTCGCAGGCTGCGCCCCGTGCGGCCTAGTCGTGTGGCAAACAGTTTACATCGCGGAATTCACGTGCACCGCACCACGTGCTGGGCGCAGCGTAAATTTGCGTCGCGGGGGACAATGCGGTTGCGTCCCTCCTTCTTGCGGGTGAACGAAGAGGCGGTAGGTGTTCTGCTCCTTCGCACGTCAGCGAATTGCAGCGCAAAATGCCACCGCGACGAGGCAGTCAATTTCACTGTGAGTGGGTGATATTTGCGTGTGACTACGCACACACAGAGCTGTGGGGATCCGAATGTGAAGTGCAATACGAGAAGAAGATAGAAGCCTCGTCGCAGTTGTTGTGTGTGCCGTGCAATTTGCACGGTTTGCCTAGGGAGATCTAATTTGCCCTCGTTGTTTGTGTGGGAGGGTGCCGTGATGTGCATCATGCTTGCGTGCCATGGCGGGTTGGGGGATGGGCGTGAGATGATCATGGGAACGTGTCATGGGGATTTGTTACAGCAAGGGAGTTGACACGGAAGAAGGTGCCAGTTGGGGACTTTTGAGCCATGTGTTACCACTACCACTTGTGATGATTTTGTTGAGGAACGATGAAGGTTAGAGTAGGCGCAACCATATATGGGCTCCATGCATGTAGTGGTGGTGCGTGTTTGTTGGGTTGCCATCAATACTCTTCTAAAGGATTATTGTCGTGCTGGTGTTTCTGTTGGATATGGAAAGCTACAATCGGGGCTGACGGAAGTTCATTTTTCCCGGTGCAAAGGACTGTTTCCGCATGTAGAGTGCACCTGGTGCATGTTCCTCCCGTTGGAGACTATGCGTGCCACCAGAATGAAATGCAAAGCGGGCATCGCTCGCGTCTGAAGAATTTGACTGGGCTATGATTGAGTCTTTCATGTGGGTTGCTATAGATGGTGGATGCACAGCTGGAGGTTTCTGGGGACGATGCGACACTGACGAGACGGAACTGGAGCGCAGCGGCGAGGAATTGTGCTTCATTTTGTTGTAACAAACAAAAAAGTTGTGAGGGGCATCTCAGGGTAGTGACGAACGTGCGTTAGTAAAAACTACGCAACAGTGCCACTGTAATGAGTTTGGGGAACATAAATCGCCCATTCACAGTCCAGCGTGTGAAAAAGTGTCTATGCTGCACGACGTTTGCATATGGTTGAGAGAAGAGGTGAATAAAAGTGAGTGGAGGTGCCGATCAGAGCGGGGGAGCAATTGTTATGCATTTTCGTCTGGGCGCCATTTGTTCACACTTTTTTTTTTTTTCATGGCAACGGCGACGGCGCTTTGCGTCGACAACCTTCGTTTGTGCAAAATGGCATCCCCCAATGGCGGCAGTGGCGATGAGGATGAACATGTTGTTAACTTCATTGCCTCGGGGTTTGTGTTCCCCACACTGCAGGCTTGCAGTTTATTGTGTAAGATCTAGACGCAGCCCAGTGCTGTTACTGCAGTACGATACAACATACTGGTCATACGCGGCAAGTCACAGCTCCATGAATTGTGGTAGTGGTGGTGACTGTCAGCATTGTCTTGCTGGGAGACACACACCGATCCAAACATGTGCGCCTCCGCTGTGGTGTTATTTTTCTGTTGACTGGGGTGAGCTCATACGGATACGTGTGGGGGTGGAGCTGCTTGGTGGTATCGGTGCTGAGCTTCTCTTGTTGCATGCGGGACAGTTGCGTTTTTTTTCTTTTTGTGCTATTGTTGCTGCGATGTCACT